CTGAACCGACAGGGGGGACTCAGATCGCGCCCTCTGTGCAAACTGGCGCATCAGATTATCCTTTGGTCCCAGGGAAAGATATTGTCAATAAGGGCAATGTATATCCCAGGGGTTCAGAATCGGGGAGCAGACATCCTGTCGAGGCAGGGGCTGAGGCCCGGGGAATGGAGACTTCATCCGGATGTGGTGAAGTCGATATGGGAGAGGTTCGGACCGATGGAAGTGGATCTGTTTGCGTCTCGAGAGACGTCCCACTGTCCACTTTGGTTCTCCCTCTCACATCCAGCCCCACTGGGGTTGGATGCCATGGTACAGGCTTGGCCGAGGCTTCGCCTGTATGCTTTCCCCCCGATCGCTCTGCTCCCAGGGGTCCTGGAGAGGGTCCGTCAAGAGGGCATCAGTCTACTTCTGGTTGCCCCGAGATGGCCGACACGAGTATGGTTCTCGGATATAATATCACTCCTCATAGCTCCGCCATGGCCGATTCCTCTGAGGAGGGATCTATTGTCTCAGGCGGAGGGCACAATCTTCCACCCTCGCCCAGAGTTGTGGAAGCTGTGGGTCTGGCCTCTGAGGGGGTTCAGTACCTAAATGCTGGCTTATCAGCTGAGGTGGTTGAAACCATACTTAGCTCTAGGGCCCCATCTACCAGGAGATTATATGGCCTCAAGTGGAAGGTGTTTCACACTTGGTGTGGAGAACGAAGGTTGGATCCAGTAAACTGCCCAGTGGCTTCAGTTCTGGAATTCCTTCAGGATCGTTTCTCTGCGGGTCTCTCCCCGTCCACTCTTAAGGTGTACGTGGCTGCCGTTTCGGCTTTCCACGCGCCAGTAGATGGTGGACCTCTGGGGAGGCACCAGTTGGTCATTAGGTTTCTCCGTGGTGCTTGGAGGATGAGGCCGGCGATCAGGTCCAGGGTGCCTGCCTGGGATCTGGCAATAGTTCTGGAAGGGTTGTCCCTCGCTCCCTTCGAACCTTTAGAGTCGGCTTCGCCTAAGGACTTAACGTTGAAAATGGTCTTTCTCTTAGCGATTACCTCTCTTAAGAGGGTGGGAGATCTCCAGGCCCTGGCGGTAACGCCAGCTTGCTTGGAGTTTGCCCCTGGCAAAGTAAAGGCCTTTTTGCACCCGAGTCCGGGCTACGTGCCTAAAGTTCCTTCGAGTACGGCTCGCTCTGTAGTCCTTCAGGCATTCCATCCTCCACCTCATGTGTCGGCGGGAGAAGAGAGGCTTCACTTGCTCTGCCCCGTCAGAGCTTTGAGTGTATACTTGGAAAAGTCTGCTTCTTGGAGAAGATCTGACCAGTTGTTAGTATGCTTTGGGTCACCTAAGAGGGGGCTCCCGGCGACCAAACAAACTATAAGTAACTGGATTGTCCAGGCTATTACTGAGGCTTACAAGGTGCGTGGGGTTCCTTCACCTTTGGCCTTAAGGGCTCACTCGACTAGAGGCATGGCTTCCTCTAGGGCCCTTCTGTCGGGAGTACCTCTGCAGGAGATTTGTGAGGCAGCCGGCTGGGCTACCCCGCATACTTTCATCAGGTTTTACAGTCTCAGCCTTCCCAGTACGCCCGGTGCACACGTACTCGGCCCTTGCTGAGTGCCTAATCAGTTTCACTCTGGGGCGGGTCTGTTCGGTGCGTGGCCTAGTGGGTACTCGTTCCCCAAAGAGTCGATTTTATCGACGCAGTGTTGAGTTCCCTCGATAGGGAACGTCTCGGGTTATGACTATAACCCTTGTTCCCTGAGAAGGGAACGAGACACTGCGTCGTGTTGCCACGCCCCCTTTTCAGACCCTTGAGCGTCTTGCTTCATCGCGAGGCTAGTGTGTGTTGTGACAGCGTCACTTTTATACTTCCGGGTATGCCGTCACATGTTACGTCACGACGCAACACCAATCAGGATTGGATTAGTTTCATTCATACTTCAGAGGCGCACGCTTAGGGAGCGTCCCCAAAGAGTCGATTTTATCGACGCAGTGTCTCGTTCCCTTCTCAGGGAACAAGGGTTATAGTCATAACCCGAGACGTTTTCTGTAACCAACAAATAGTTCGGAAGGCAGCGAGTATCCTGGCCGCTCCGGGACACGCTGTGGCAGGCGAATTTTCTCTGTTGCCCTCAGGGCGTCGTTATGCGCTTCCCGTATGTAAGACAAACCGCTACTCCAAATCTTTTATTCCTTGTGCGATTAAACTATTAAACTCTAGGTAGGGTTTTTGAGGTTTTTTAAATGTGCACATAACTGACTGACAGTATGTTGTGAATATTGTGTCTGATTGTTCTATGTATTCATTCATGCTGCTCTAAATGAATTGCCCCTTGTGGGATTAATAAAGTTGACTGAACTGAACTGAACTGCCTTTGGTGTGAGAGACCCGGGTTCGAATCCACTGTGGTAGAGGTCTTCGCAGTGCACCCGTGACCCGTACGAGTTCAGGTCTATATCTGACTTAAAATGATCATCCGGGTCGGGTCCGAATCTATTACTTCGGGTCCGGGGTCTGTTTAACATTGTGTGTAACACCGTGCGATTGGAGTCATCAGACTTGATCAGAGTCAGAATGAGTCAGTCAGCACTGCTTGTGTTTTTTTGCAACTTGTAAAATTAGGTACAGAAAAGTGTGAGCCAAAAAAAGAGCGATCTCTCTCTCTCTCTCTCTCTCTGTCTCTGTCTGTCCGTGCGTGCAGTCTCAAGCACGTGTCATGTTTCAATGGCAACCAGAGCTTCTGCCAAACCGTGCTTTACATTTTCTCCCTTTTTTATAATAATATCAAGTATCTCAAGTATCAAGATGGCGCCAGTGTGTGTGGCCGGCCGCCTGTTGCAGAGCGAACTATTTGTGATTTTACTGCTTGTATTATTGTTTATGCAATGTATTGACTCTCTGCTGGTTTATGATCGTCAAACGCTGATTGATCTCCGTCTCGCGTTGGAGAAGTTGCCCAAGTGTGACTGGGATGGTCGGAAAACTTTTCTCCCTTCTCCCTTGCAAAACATACCTGCTCATCTTGTACGAAATCCGGCTTCCCTTGTCCGGAGAGGACGTTCGAGACGCCGTGGGAAGCGCAGCGGCCAGCTGGTGAAGTGGAAAGCTTACCTAGCGGACTACTCTGCCTGTGGATCCCGGCGTCATTTTGGTTCGCCTTCGGTTCACTTTATATCCTGGCGTGTTATGGATCCTGCCGGGACTTGGTTGATACCGATTGTCGGCTCAGATATGGAGTTTTCTTGTCAACGCTCACCTCGCCCTAGGAAAGGCGGTGTTAACCATGGAAACCTTCGGTCTTTGAGTTATGTAACTCGTACGACCAGTTCCCCTGCTCCTGTCAGAGCTGCCTTGATCAACGCCAGATCATTGGTGAATAAGACCTTTATTTTAAAAGAGTTTTTTTCCCAGCATAATTTGGATTTTTTATTTGTGACTGAAACTTGGTTAAATATTGGTGAGCTGACCCCTTTTTCTGAACTTCTACCGCTGGACTGTACATATTTTAACTCCCCGAGGTCTACTGGTCGAGGAGGAGGACTTGCCGTTATTTTTAAGGAAAAATACAACTGCAGGCAGTTGTCAACGATAACGTTTTCGAGTTTTGAGTTAACAATGTTTGAATTGGGCAAATTTCAGCCCATTCTGTGTTCTCTTATCTATCGACCTCCTAAATATAACAAGCATTTTATTAGGGATTTTACTGATTTACTGTCTGAAATTATGCCAAAATATGATCGGATTTTAATTTTAGGAGATATGAATATTCATGTATGCTGTCCCATGAATCTGTTGGCTAAAGATTTTTTAAAACTAATCGATTCATTTAACCTTACACAGTTTTTAAGTGGTCCAACACAGATCCATGGCCACACATTAGATCTTGTCTTGTCATGCAGTTTGCCTATTTTAAATATTGAGATACAAAAGCCAGTTTTTTCTGATCATTCACCAATTTTATTTGATGTTTTTCTTTCAAATAACACTGTTAAGTTTTGTGCTCCACCTCGTATCCGCAGGATGATTAAACCTGCCACTGCTGCACAATTTTCTGAAGCATTTACTAATGTTATAGAGACTACAGAGCCGTCTGCCTCCCTATGTACAGATCAGCTTATTTCATGCTTTTCATCCACCTGTATAAATATTCTTGATAAAATTGCACCACTAAAGCCCAGGCGCTCCAAACCTAATTCTGAGCCATGGATTAATGATTTAACTCTAGGAATGATTTAAAAGTCTAGGAAAGCTGAACGCCAATGGAAAAAACATCCCACTGCGCAACGTGACGTCGATGTGACGTCTTTTTCGTGTCATTTTTGGACGTCCAAATTCGGTCCAATGAAGGGGTTGTTTTGTAACGCCAGACGACGTCTTTTTTTCGACGTCAACTGCACGTCTAATTTGGACGTCTGTGGGACCGCCGTGTAAGGGCTATTTATAGTCCAAATGTGGTTACTTATGGACGTCTTTTCAACGTCAAATTTAGACTTATATTATACGTCGTTTTTCTAACTTATATAACTTTACAACATTACAGTTATACACATACAAATAAATCACAATTCAATAATCACCATTTTAATCTTTATTCAAAAATAAATTGCCATGAATAGCATCAGAAGGGCACCGGACATATCAAGCACAATTATGTACAAATAATTAGATTGTAATTTAATTATGAACAAATAATTAGATTGCAATTGAAGGGCACCAAATATATCTAGCACAATTATGAACAAATAATTAGTTAGTAGATCTCTATGAATGTAGTGTAAGACATTTACAAGTGATGAATAGTTCACACTTTATGCAGAAAGTGCAAATGATTAATTCATGCCTTTACACATCTATAACAGGTGTTGAACACTGTAGTGTAAAATTGTAATTTAATTATGAACAAATAATTAGATTGTCATTGAAGGGCCACAGTAAAGCACAATTATGAACAAATAACTAGATTGTAATTTAATTTATAATTCAAGTCCTCTCGTCTTGGCTCATCAGGGAGTTGTGAATCTACCTCCAATCTTTGTGGCGCGTGCTTGAGGTGCTCAGAAACATGCATCTTGATTTACTTCTCTGTGGCTGCAGAATCAAATTTCATGATCCCTCCTACACAAGCAGAAAAATATATGATTTAGATATATGCAACGGCAATCTGCAATCATTCACCAAAGGCCCCACATTTGTAAGCAAAAATATGTTTCCTTGCATCCATTACTGGATAAATACTAAGCCATCTCAGCAACTGTTAACTAACACTTAGGCTGTCTACAAAGAGGCACTAAGCAGACTGCACTTTTTTTAGAAAGCTTGCATTCTTTAATGTGTGCATTAGAATGTTGACCATTGTCAACACCTTATAATAACGTTCAGTTGTAAGTCTGTAAGTGGTTAGTTAATGAACTACTTTGAAAATATTAGTATCATTTGCTAATCATTTATGAATGTTTTGTCAATTCCGTTACAAGTCATTTACAAGTTATTAGTAAATTATTAATGTATAAAACATGAATATACATTTCATAAATGAAAAAAATAATAATGTATGCATCTAGCAATTAGAGGGGGAAAGTGTTGTAACCCAGGTGAAAAAGACGTTGTATTAAATGTATTAAAAATATATTTGAAATACAAATAGTGTGTTTATAATACATTTGTATTTACAACATGCTTATTTAAAGTGTACTAAAATGTATTTTATTGCATTTTAGTATATTTCTAAAAAGTATACTAGAAGTACATTGGTAATAAATATATATTTAATTACACTTTTAAGAAATATACTATAGAAAAGCATACTTTTAATGTATTTATAAAAAAGTATATTAGTAATATATTGGTAATAAATGTATGCTTTATTATATTTTTAATAAATATGCTAATGATAATTATACTTTAAATGTATTTCTAAAAAGTATATTAGAAGTACATTGGTAATAAATATATGTTTAAATACACTTTTAAGAAATACACTATAGAAAAGCATACTTTTAATGTATTTCTAAAAAAGTATATTATTAGTACATTGGTAATAAATGTGTGCTTAATTATATTTTTAATAAATATGCTAATGACAATCATGCTTTAAATATGTTTCTAAAAAGTGTACTAGAAGTACATTGGTATTTAATTACATTTTTAAGAAATATGCTAAATACAAACATATTTTAATTATATTTAAAAATGTTTTACTAGAAACGCAATGATAATAAATATACACTTAATTACACTTTTAGAAATATGCTAAAAACAAACACAGTTTTAGTGAAGTTTTAGTGTATTTACAGAAAGCATACTTGTTGCTAAATTAAAGTATTTTTGTGTTCACTTCAAGTTTAAAAATTCAAGTCAAGTCCCTTTAATTCCCTTCCTAACATGAAGGCAATTAAACATGTATCGAAATTAATTGTATATTTCTACAAAGACTTGAAGTAGCACTTTAATTATAAATATGTGCTCAGTTAAGCTTTTAAGAAATATACCAAAAACTACCACACTTTTTGTAATACTACCAACACTTAACTCAATGCATATGTATTTCACACTTTATATTATGTGTTTTAGGTTTAACTTTTTTAAATTAATTTGTTATAATTATGAAAAGCACTAAAATTTGACTAACAAGTAATGCACTTCTATACTTCTGCATTAATTAATCAAATAGTCTTTTCCACAAAACAAGTGAATACCAGTACGTGCACACATCAACATAAAAGATCAGGTGTACATACTAGAAAAACAAAATAAATTTCTTAAAGCTTGACTCTTACATTTGTTTAGTCAAAATGAATAAAAAAACTTGTTATAAAGCATGTTAGGTTTATATTAACAGAGTTGTTTCTTTTTTGTGGATGTTAGTTAATATTTCCAGTTGCATTCATTTGGACCAATCAGAGCCAATCTTTTCAAAACAAGCTTGCCGGCAATCGTCCAATCACACACTGCCATTTGAACTTACATGTTGGGCGGGGCGCGGACAACGGATACTGACTGTCTGTGGTATTCCATTAGCTTCGGACGGATATCTCAACAGAAATCATGTATTTTCCAAATTTTGCTTTGTTATTTCACTGACTCGGACCTAGTGAATGTGGATAGCACCGATCTAATATTAAGAGAACACACGAGCAGATTACCAGGTCGTCAGCTCCCGCGAACAATTTAGCAGTGAAGAGGACAACGCAGAGCTGCGCCGCCACGACATGGACAGAGCAAGATACTGCCAGAAAAGATCTTACTTCTTGGTGGTAAGTTTATTAGTTTAAGTGATTAGTGTAATTGGCTTTATTCTCACTTTGGGTTTAGAAAATATTTTCAGAAGTTGATGACGATGTTCTGTGGATTACTGGCGTTTCTGTTGATTTGACACTAAAGCGAGTTAACGTCTATCCATTGACGTCTATCAACTTAATTGTTATAGATCTAGACAGTGACATAATGCAACTATAAAAACATTGCACACTGTGTTTTCAGAAAAAAGGTTATTAATGGTGATTACACGACAGGCTTGATTGTCCCTAAGTAACTTCTTGTGTTTTAAATATTATAATATATTTTAAGCTCTAATAAAACTTTCACATTTGTGATATTTAATTCATAGTAAAATCTAATTAATTATTAGTTACTAAGTTATCAGCTGTCACCAACTTGTAACTTTCAATAGAATGTTCTGTCTTTATTAATAATGAATAATTACTTCAATAATAGCGTGGAAGTTACAGTAATGGTTCATTAAATATGTTTTACCATTTAAACAAAATACAAATTATATATGAAGAACACAAACTAGTGTTTGTTCTGCCCTAACTTTGTATAACATGCAACTTTATTTTTTTTTGTAGAGCTTCCAGGGATACTATCATCTCTCAAAGAGGCCCTGGAGTCCATGAAACGAGGTTCATTCAGCTCAAGCCCAAGATCATCTGAGCTGTCTTCCTGAAACCTCAGACATGGTAAGAAAATTCTTTATGATAAAGAAAAATCCTATTTGTTATAATAATTATATCTGACTTTTGTGCATTAATACTTCAGTAAGTGTTCTGAATTAAGTAACAAAGTGACAGCTTTTTATTAGAATTATAAATGAACAAGTTTATACTAATGCTTGTTTTTTTTATTCTTTCCAGATTTCCCTCGGTGGTTCTGATGTCCCCAAAAGAGTCTATGGCAGACTGAACAAGTCACGAACTTCTCTTTTTACTCACGACTTGGCCACTTTACTTTTTGCTGTTGTATTTCACTTTGTTTGACTTAAAGGATTAGTTCACTTAAAAAAAAAAAAAACTTTTGCTGATAACTTACCCACCCCCATGCCAAGATATCCATGTCATTCTTTCTTCAGTTGAAAAGAAATTAAGGTTTTTGATGAAAACATTTCAGGATTTTCTCCATATGGACTTCATTGGGAACCAAACGGTTCAAGGTCCAAAAGGCAGTTTCTGTGCAAACTGTTCAAAGGGCTTTAAACGATTCCAGACGATGAATAAGGGTCTTATCAAGCGAAACGATCGGTCATTTAAAAAAAAAAAAAAAAAACAACGTTTAAGTTTTATAAGCTCAAATGGTCGCCATGCTCTGTTCTGTTATGCATGTTCATAACTCTCCTATTCAAACTCGTTCATCAAAATTAACTAATCTTTTTCTGAGTCATTAGGTTCATTCAACGAACGAAATGAATGAATTGACTTGAAAAAAGATTTGTCAGGGCTGCCAACTCTCAAGCATTCAGCACGAGACTCTCGCAATTGAGCAATTCTCATGCTTTCACGACAAATTGACTGTTAGCCATTGGACCTTGAACCGTTTTGTTCCCAGTGAAGTCCATTATATGGAGAAAAATCCTGGAATGTTTTCATCAAACCTTAATTCCTTTTCGACTGAAGAAAGAAAGACATGGACATCTTGGAAGACATGGGGTGAGTAAATTATCAGCAAAAGTTTTTTTTTAAAAGTGAACTACTCCTTTCAGTTAGTTTATTTATTTATTTATTTATTTTTTGTTCTGTTTAATACCTCTGCAAATCAATGCATTTTATGTTAATGTATTTTGTTTAGTTTTCATAATGCTTTACTGATGTAGTGCATTAAAGTTTATCTTTCAAAGAGTGTTTGTGTGTTTTGTAGAAATATTTTTTTACTGGGTTTTGTTGAATTAAAATGTTTAACTGTATTTTTAATACATTAAAATATATTATTTTTATATTAAATGGTTTTTGGAAAAAATATATTTTTAATATGTTAATAGTGGGTCCTATATTGTTCTACAAATACATTATTAATAAGCTGAAATTATATTTAAAATATACTTAGAACGCATTAATGTGAAGCTAAAATATACTAATGCTGTATTTCTAAAATCGATTTAAAGTGTATTAAAATACACTTTAAATAAGTGCTATTATATTACATTAAATGTACTTAAAATGGTTCCATTTTAGCACAATTTAATATAATAAAATATATTACTATTACCTTAAAATTGAACTTAAATACATATTAAAGTACACTTAATATACTTGAAGTTGTTTCAATTTAGCACATTTAATACATATTTAATACGGTGCACTTAAAATACATTAAGTATATCAAAATAAGTACATTTTAAATACATTTCCTTTTCACCTGGGAAATGTCTTGTATTCATGTACATATCATTTGAAACAGGTAAGTAACAGTTTTTAACAGTGTGTAAATGCATGAATAAGTCATTTACAACACTTTCTGTATCCCCTAATCTAAAGTGTATAGTAATCGCTAGTAAATGTGTTACAAAGCATGCGTAGATCTTATGCCTTATTGATTCTTGAAGTGGTAATCTACGAATGAAGTGTAAGACATTTACAAGTGATGAATAGTTCACACTTTATGCAGAAAGTGTAAATGATTAATTCATGCCTTTACACATCTATAACAGGTGTTGAACACTGTAGTGTGTACTGCAGTGTAATTGCTGACTAGTGAGGTTGTAGACAGCTGTCTTCTCTAAAACACATGGAGTCTAACCACTGGGCACCTGACATTTATGAAACGTAATGATTAATAATTTACAAAACACGACTATTCAATTGTAAATGACTTGTAATAATTTACAAAACATACATGAAGTGTTAGCATATCACTTGCTAAACATTTATGAATGTTTTGTATATGATTAGTTCATCATCAACCACTTATAAATTACTTAAAACACTGAAATAACAGTTTGTAATAACGTTCAGTTGTATCAACCTGTTGTGCTTTGTGCAATTTACAAAAGTTAGCTTTGTGCTTGGTAGAGGGCTGCATTGGGATTGAGTACCGCCGGGTCCCACGGGAGTGTAACATCCGTTGCGGGAGCGGTAATGGTCAGAGATTCGGCGGGGTGAGGAAAATAGTCCTGCGCAGGGCTCTACTTGGAAACACATTGGACTCAATAAAAATTACTATTGAGAATAATTTTGCACAAAATAAAAATAAAAGGGATTAAAGGGATACTCCACTTTTTTATGAAATAGGCTCATTGTACAACTCCCCTAAAGTTAAACAGTTGGGTTTTACCATTTTCTAAATCATTTAGCAAATTTTCTGATATTTAGAAGAGTATATCAGTAACCAGATAGTTTCTGTTCTCATTGACTTCCATAGTGGGAAAAACATATATTATGGAAGTCAATGGGACATTATGGAAGTCAATGGGACCAGAAACTGTCTGGTTACTGATACTCTTCTAAATATCAGAAAATCGTAATTAGTAAAACTCAACTGTTTAACTCTGAGGGATTTGTAAAATTAGACAATTTCCAGACAAAGTGGAGTATCCCTGATAATACAACACATCAACTATTTGTCAGAGCAGACTGTTTTCAGTTGAAGGCTACTTCAACTTCAAAGTAATAAGGACCACCACAGAAAGTCATTCATACCCAGAGGTATAACAGTTTGTACTGACTCCTTTATGCCATGAGAGGAGAATAATATTGAGATCTGTTACTTTTAACTTTGCTTTCAAATATGATTTAATCAGTCAGACTTTGAAGGGTTAAAGGAGTAGTTCAAATTTAAAAAAATAAATAAAAACTCCATTATATGGAGAATAATCCTGGAATGTTTTCATCAAAAACCTTAATTTCTTTTTGACTGAAAAAAGAAAGACATGGACATCTTGGATGACATGGGGGTGAGTAAATTATCAGCAAAAGCTTTCAAAAGTGAACTACTCCTTAAAGAACTCTAATGATATATTTACCCCCTGATTGTCACGGGTAAAGGTGCAGGAATGCAGGAGTGTAGGCGGAAGGAACGGGAGGAGTCCAGATTAACAATGAAGATATAAATTTAATAGGGATACAGGCAGGAAGGCAGGATAACACCGGGTAACATACAACATCGACCGACAATCATGGGTAAAACAGAGGGAACTAAATACACAGAATAATCAAACATAATGGGGTGAGAACAGGTGAAACAGATGATGATGACGAGGAACAGGTGGCTGATGAGGGAGTGAACACGGGATAGGGTGACGAGAGGATCCTGGGAAGTGTAGTGCTGCTGACGGGACAAACAGGTGAAGACGAAGACTGTGACAGAACTCCCCCCTCCCGGGAGGCGTGACCTCACACCGCAGACCAGAGGAAGGAGGGGGGACGAACTTAGGGCTGAGAGGGGTGTGGCCAGGGTGGAGCAGGCTGAGGGCGTGGCCAGGGCGGAGCAGGCTGAGGGCGTGGCCAGGGCGGAGCAGGCTGAGGGCGTGGCCAGGGCGGAGCAGGCTGAGGGCGAGACCAGGGCGAAGCAGGCTGAGGGCGAGACCAGGGCGAAGCAGGCTGAGGGCGTGGCCAGGGCGGAGCAGGCTGAGGGCGTGGCCAGGGCGGAGCAGGCTGAGGTCGAGACCAGGGCGAAGCAGGCTGAGGGCGAGACCAGGGCGAAGCAGGCTGAGGGCGTGGCCAGGGCGGAGCAGGCTGAGGGCGTGGCCAGGGCGGAGCAGGCTGAGGGCGAGACCAGGGCGAAGCAGGCTGAGGGCGAGACCAGGGCGGAGCAGGCTGGACGGTCTCCGGCACAGGCTGGACGTTTTCCAGCGGTGAAGAGCATTCAGTCTCTGGAGAGCTGGACGGAACCAACGGTGAAGAGCATTCAGTCTCTGGAGAGCTGGACGGAACCAGCGGTGACGAGCATTCAGTCTCTGGAGAGCTGGACGGAACCAGCAGTGAAGAGCATTCAGACTCTGGAGAGCTGGACGGGACCAGCGGTGAAGAGCCTTCAGTCTCTGGAGAGCTGGACGGAACCAGCGGTGAAGAGCATTCAGTCTCTGGAGAGCTGGACGGAACCAGCTGTGAAGAGCACTCAGTCTCTGGAGAGCTGGACGGAACCAGCGGTGAAGAGCATTCAATCTCTGGAGAGCTGGACGGAACCAGCGGTGAAGAGCATTCAGTCTCTGGAGAGCTGGACGGAACCAGCGGTGAGGAGCATTCAATCTCTGGAGAGCTGGACGGAACCAGCGGTGAAGAGCATTCAATCTCTGGAGAGCTGGACGGAACCAGCGGTGAAGAGCATTCAGTCTCTGGAGAGCTGGACGGAACCAGCGGTGAAGAGCATTCAGTCTCTGGAGAGCTGGACGGAACCAGCGGTGAAGAGCATTCAGTCTCTGGAGAGCTGGACGGAACCAGCGGTGAGGAGCATTCAATCTCTGGAGAGCTGGACGGAACCAGCGGTGAAGAGCATTCAATCTCTGGAGAGCTGGACGGAACCAGCGGTGAAGAGCATTCAGTCTCTGGAGAGCTGGACGGAACCAGCGGTGAAGAGCATTCAGTCTCTGGAGAGCTGGACGGAACCAGCGGTGAAGAGCATTCAGTCTCTGGAGAGCTGGACGGAACCAGCAGTGAAGAGCATTCAGTCTCTGGAGAGCTGGACGGAACCAGCGGTGAGGAGCATTCAATCTCTGGAGAGCTGGACGGAACCAGCGGTGAAGAACATTCAGTCTCTGGAGAGCTGGACGGAACCAGCGGTGAAGAGCATTCAGTCTCTGGAGAGCTGGGCGGAACCAGCGGTGAAGAGCGTTCAGACTCTGGAGAGCTGGACGGAACCAGCGGTGAAGAGCATTCAATCTCTGGAGAGCTGGACGGAACCAGCGGTGAAGAGCATTCAATCTCTGGAGAGCTGGACGGAACCAGCGGTGAAGAGCATTCAGTCTCTGGAGAGCTGGACGGAACCAGCGGTGAAGAGCATTCAGTCTCTGGAGAGCTGGACGGAACCAGCGGTGAAGAGCATTCAGTCTCTGGAGAGCTGGACGGATCCAGCAGTGAAGAGCATTCAGTCTCTGGAGAGCTGGACGGAACCAGCGGTGAGGAGCATTCAATCTCTGGAGAGCTGGACGGAACCAGCGGTGAAGAACATTCAGTCTCTGGAGAGCTGGACGGAACCAGCGGTGAAGAGCATTCAGTCTCTGGAGAGCTGGGCGGAACCAGCGGTGAAGAGCGTTCAGACTCTGGAGAGCTGGACGGAACCAGCGGTGAAGAGCATTCAGTCTCTGGAGAGCTGGACGGAACCAGCGGTGAAGAGCATTCAGTCTCTGGAGAGCTGGACGGAACCAGCAGTGAAGAGCATTCAGTCTCTGGAGAGCTGGACGGAACCAGCGGTGAGGAGCATTCAATCTCTGGAGAGCTGGACGGAACCAGCGGTGAAGAACATTCAGTCTCTGGAGAGCTGGACGGAACCAGCGGTGAAGAGCATTCAGTCTCTGGAGAGCTGGGCGGAACCAGCGGTGAAGAGCGTTCAGACTCTGGAGAGCTGGACGGAACCAGCGGTGAAGAGCATTCAATCTCTGGAGAGCTGGACGGAACCAGCGGTGAGGAGCATTCAATCTCTGGAGAGCTGGACGGAACCAGCGGTGAAGAGCATTCAGTCTCTGGAGAGCTGGGCGGAACCAGCGGTGAAGAGCGTTCAGACTCTGGAGAGCTGGACGGAACCAGCAGTGAAGGGCGTTCAGTCTCAAAAGGACTGACGGTGAGCGCGGGCTCGGCAGGGCTGACGGCGAGCGCAGGCTCGGCAGGGCTGACGGTGAGCGCAGACTCGGCAGAGCTGACGGTGAGCGCAGACTCGACAGGGCTGACGGTGAGCGCGGGCTCAGCAGGGCTGACGGTGAGCGCAGACTCCAAAAACTCGGGAAATGGCAGATGGAGGTCCTCGAGCAGTAGAATTTGGGCTAATGGGTCGTCCAAACCTCTCCAGAACCGTAGTTTCAGGAAATCCTCCTCCCAGTATATGTCCTGGCGTAAATGAAGATAAACCTCTACGAATTCTTCCAACGAGGCCCCATTCTGATCAAAGAGGAAAGCCTCCATCTGGTCGTCCATCTTTGTTGGTTGTGGTCGGTCGATCTGTCACGGGTAAAGGTGCAGGAATGCAGGAGTGTAGGCGGAAGGAACGGGAGGAGTCCAGATTAACAATGAAGATATAAATTTAATAGGGATACAGGCAGGAAGGCAGGATAACACCGGGTAACATACAACATCGACCGACAATCATGGGTAAAACAGAGGGAACTAAATACACAGAATAATCAAACATAATGGGGTGAGAACAGGTGAAACAGATGATGATGACGAGGAACAGGTGGCTGATGAGGGAGTGAACACGGGATAGGGTGACGAGAGGATCCTGGGAAGTGTAGTGCTGCTGACGGGACAAACAGGTGAAGACGAAGACTGTGACACTGATAGGGTTAATATTGCAAATATTCTATTGCAGATATAAATTCAAACATTTTAAAGGCTAAGAGTATGAGCCATGAGTAAACTGGCCAGATATCTGTGAAAAATAACTCGACCCCCTGAATTCAGCATTTAAAAGTAAAAAGAATTTCAGTATGTATCAGTAAAAAATACATAAAAATAAATAAATACCTTTGAGTTGGACAGTACGATGTCTCATTGGCCAACTTATTTCAAAACACACCTAGAGAAATAAAATAAAAATACCAATGACCATGATATTCTGTTATCATAATAGTTAAATTCATTATTATAACTATGACCTTTATAACATGATATTTGCCATCTCTTATTTAGCTGATTATTTAGCCTAAAGGCTTCTTAAGGACAATCTCACAAAAAAAAAAAAAAAACTGGGGTTAAGACTTCTTTCAAAAGCATAAATCCTACAGACCTACAACTTTTGAACAGTAGAGTACAGTATGTTTGAGGTTTTGCTTACTAGTCGAGTTCATAGCCGTGGAGATTGTCTTGGACAGGGGGTGCAGTAACTTAGGACATCAACATGATCTTATAAAATAACATGCAATGTGTCACAGCCAACAATGTTACATAGGATTAGAACATAGGGTTTATTACAAGGAAGCAAGCATATATAATTTCTCTTTTCTGCATTTCACCTCTCCTCTAGCTAAGAAAAGAGAAAGTATATAAATATTATTAAATAAATGCATGACATTACTATCATGAATAAACAATAAATCCCCCTTTTATTGTGGACGTTTTTTCCTCATGAAATCACTTTTTTTAATCAATCTTTGTAACGTTAAGTGACGTCACTGATTAATAATACATCACATTATTTTAGGCTAAATAAATTAGCTTAACGTTACTTCCAATCACCCATTGTAAATTACCAGCAAAAAAACTATCAAAAATTATTATATACACAAAGATAAAACCCCAAACTTATACAAAACAGCTTCAGAGTAACTTACCTTAGCTAACTTAGCTGATAGCCTCTTCTGAAAACGATTGAGATGCTAACGGACTTTTTCGAAGACCCAAAATCATTTCAATAAAGTAAAGCCGTGTCTGAAACCGCTCACTCGTTCACTCCTTCACTAATCCCTATATAGTGAATGGCAGTTGAGTGCACTACATCAGCAAAGAGTGAACGAAAAAGAGTGAGCAAATTCGGACGCTGAATCATCATCATGCGCCAGAGAGAGCGCGGACAATTTCGTCATTGACATTATTACCCATCTTATATTGGGATATGACTATTGGTCCATATCACCCAGCCCTAGTTGAGATGAAAACTCTTGTTTGTTACATTTTACTTCATATTTGCAACCACATGTGTTGTATTCATTGTTGCAAAACTTGTTCTGTAGTTCGTTGTTATCGTGATCAAAACCATTGATCTGAAGCTCAATGCTGATGCTGTCATGTAAATAGTTTTCTTATCAGCAATAAATATAACAATTTCTGATCAACCCATATCAATTGCATGCTTAAAATAACATACCGGTTAAAGCCCCGCCCATTTCAAGACTACCCGACCCACTTCCGGGTTTAGGCCCCGCCCAGTCCGAGTACAGATACAGATACAGATAATTCATATGGTTATACAGATACAGATACAGATAATGCTGTACTCGCTCATCCCTACCCATCTGTAATATTTCCTTTTTTTTGCCTGGATGAATTGTATGTAACTGTTCATTTTTCACGTTATTGTACTATTTGATAAAAAATAAAAAAAATAAAACACCTGCTTTTCATATTTACTTACATTTACATTTAAAAATACAAAGAGAACAAAACACTACCCAACGGTATATATAATATATATTTATTTGTTCATAAAATATAACGGTATATAAATTAAAACTGAAAAAAAAAAAAAAAACTGTCAACAAAAACCTGTTATTATTTTCGCGGGGTTTCCAGTCAGTGTCCTTCAGCTAACTCCTGAGGTAAACCTGTCGTAAAATGTACTCCATCCTGTTAGTTTTCGTTCTGATGAAACTTCTTTTCCTGAGGAGAAGGAAACGGCTTTTTTTACGAAGAGCAACAGCTCAAAGGCGTGCTTTGTTAGCTCGCAGATGCCACCTATCGGTAAGAAGATATTTTGAAGTACACATTCACAAGTACACATTACAAGTACAAGTACACATTATTTTGAAGTACTTCCTATTCCTCTAAGAAACAAACGAAGAGTTCTGATGCAAAAGCCTCTTGGCATTTGAAATTTTCTTCTAAAATTATAATTTTTATCAAGCTTGTATATTTAAGTTCAGTAATTTCACTTAAATGGCAATGAAGATTACCTATTAATTGTCATTTAAGTGAAATTACTGAACTTAAATATACAAGCTTGATAAAAATTATCATTTTAGAAGAAAATTTCAAATGCCATTTAGAGGCTTTTGCATCTGAACTCTTCAAACATTTATCAATTCAGTTTCCATTGTTACTTATGATAATTGGAAGAACAGATTTGCAGCTGGATGTAGCTATTTTGCAATATAAAACATCTTAATTATATTTATTAATGCTGAAATGATCATTGATCACATCATATAAACAGCAAATTTGATTTAACACTTTTTAATAGTAACTTTGATTAATGCATCCTATTACATTGACATAAATATCATTATTAACCATTTTAGCATATTTACTCTTTCAGTCTGGCACTCGAGGTCCATATTCCCTGCTGAACCAGTCAGTGCCTGTCCTCAGGCTGTACCTGGATAGAAGATGTGACACGAGGCCAGACTTTCGTCTTAACAGGCAAACACTGACCTACCTCATCAACACACTCCATGAGGATCGTGATCATGGTTGGGCTCAGGATATAGAAATTCTGGTCTTCCTATTCTGGCTCGCAAGTGCAACATCTTACCGGGTTGTTTGCAGAGCATTTGATATGCCCCGTTCAACAGTTCACATGATTGTACACAAAGTCTCAAAACTGCTCCTCAAAATCAAATGCAAAATAATTCACTTCCCATCTTTAGAGGAGCTAGAGGAAATCGGCACAGGCTTTGCAAACCTGGCTGGCAGCGCTGTCTTTAGTTCAGTTGCTGGTAGCATTGATGGTTGTCACATAAGAATCAAGCCTCCATCTGCTGATTCTATGTGCTACCTAAACAGAAAATTATTTTATTCGATACAGTTAAGCACTCTGTGACCACCAAGGCAAATACCTGGACATTTTTGTGGGTTATCCCGGATCAGTCCATGATTCCCGAGTGCTCAGAAACAGCACTATCTATTCGAGGGCACTGTACCCACCAGAGGGATACCACATTTTAGGAGATGGGGGTTACCCCTGTCTTAGCCACCCAATCTCTCTCATCACTCCATATAGAGAGCCACTACAAAATCAAAGTCAGCGTCGCTTCAACTTGCACCATGCAAAAGCTCGATCCATCATTGAGAGATCCTTTGGCATTTCGAAAACACGATGGCGGTCACTTTTCTTCAAGGCCCTTGAAGTCAAGCCAGAATTTGCTCCAGAGGTGATCACTTGTTGTACTATACTGCACAACATTTGCATCACAACTGGTGATATCATAGAGCCAGAGGAAGGACAACTGAATGGCGATGATCCTGATGACCTGCAAGTGAGAGAGCCACAGAGTGGAGAGCACACCAGAGACCGCTTGGCTGCAGCCGTTTCTGCTCCAGATGATGATGATGATCTTCCTTCAGCACTGAGACATCATGATTATTTATAAAACATGTTACAACCACATTTATATAATAGTTAGATATGTTTAGTTAGCATGTAATTAAATAAAAAAACTAAACAAGTGTAATTATTTTAGGTTAGTTATGTATTAGTAATTTTTTTTTCAATTTACATTTCAGCTAATTTAAAACATGTATTGCAGTTCATTGTTATAAGTACTTGCCTTTACTTTAAAATCTTAATGTGTTTAGATGTACATGATATTGTTAATTTTCTCTAACAGTTTATATTATTGGTAGTATTAAAACAAATTTAAACAACAAAAAACAACAACATTAAAACTCAAAATGATTTATTTAAAAGAAAGGTTACATTTTATTTTACATACTTATAAGAAAGGGTACATTTTATTTTACATTTTTTCAACTATTTTCTCCAGAATAGAGAGAAGTCTCTCCTCTCTCTCATCCTCTTTTCTCATTCTCTCTTCTGTTCTTTCAGCTTCCCTCTCCAAAAACTCCAGTACTGGATCTTTTCTCTGCCTCTTTGATGGCCCTGCCTCAACACTCTCTCTCCTATCCTGCTGCTCTGGCTTCTTGGGGACTGAACCAAGAGAACTCACTGCAGGAAGAATGGAGTCTTCCTCTGATGAGGCAATGAGGATGGGGGGCTGGATGGATGGCCTCCCACCTATTGCCTCATCCATGAGGTCAAACCACTTCCATGTTCCTGCAGTGGACTCTCCTGATTCAGTCCCAATACCGGTTGGTGGCTTTCTTAGCTCCTAAAAATGATGTATAACCCAACAGATGAGTAAGAGTTTTGTTATAATACTAGGCAAGAACAAATCCATCTGCTTCAGTCATACACATTTTTATGATCATCTGCCATATTTGTGACCATCAGCGGGGCAAAGTAATGACAGTACAAACATGTGAACAGAGATGCTTTACATTACATTTTTACAGATCTCAAGCTAGCGCAGACCTGACCAAAATATAACATTCATGAACAATTATGTATATTTAATCCACAATACATCTCTGTATGGTGGAGATCTCCATAAATTGGCACTATACATAAATTAATAAATTAATTGCTGTGAAATGTCTGTGAAAGTGATATTTGGTTTCTAGCTTGAGATGTGTAAAAATTATTTCTGATTTGGATCAAATCCAGGGATAAAATATTGCCCTTAGCAATTTATTAACTATTTAAAAACATTTGTCAGATTCCGCAAAGGGAGTAAAGTTGCAAGCAAATATGTAAATAAATATTATCATACCTTGTATTTCTTTTTAAGATTTTCCCACTTTTTGGCCACTCTGGCAGGGGTGACCACACCCAGCAGGCCGATCTCCTTCAGTACGGTTCTGTTTAACATACAACGTAATGATTTAGACATTAATAAATAAACATTAAACCATATTATTATTAAACTGTTTGATTCTGAAACTCACTCCCATCCATGCTGAGCAGCGTTTCTCCGCCCAGAAAAGAGATGACCATATTCGGATCTTTTAACAATAATTTGTTGTATGTCCTCATCTGTCCCTAAAGCAAATAAAAATTCGTCAGTAGGCCTAGATCATTTTCTAAGACGTAACGTAACATAAGTGAATACTGTACGAACAGATCACTCACAGATATGAGAACAATCGACCAATTTATGTTATGTACAACTGCAAATTTAAGAGTTTCAGCACTAAAAGTGACTAAAAAGTAATTACAGTACCAACAAATTAACCTCTATCATTTCGCTCCACAATATCTTTACAAATGTTTTTTTTTTAATTAATAAAAAGTTAAACTTACATTTGTAAAAGTTGCCGCCTCCGGTGTTGCCGTCCGCCATCTTTATTTTTCTTTTGCGCTCTATCGCCGTATCGCATTGAATCTTGGGTAACGGCAGAGCCCCGCGCTCCAACGAGTGTACATCGGATGTACACTCAAAATCAGAGAGGATTGTGGGTAAGAGTAGTGAACGAACGTAGGGAATGACGTCGTTCACTCAGAATTCGGACACCACTACAAAATGGCCGACACCCGATATAGTGCACTATACAGTGGATAGGGAGCGATTTCAGACACAGCTATACAGTATATTTCTGTTTATCTTCATTCAATAATTATGATGTCACAACTTTAACAAGGTCAACCCAAAATTCCTTCAGACACTAACCCTTGCCCTTCATTGCAACATGATATGAGGAACCATTCTAAATTAAGGAATAACACCACCTACAGGTCATGAGATATTTAAATAACTACATTAGTTTTGAGCTACATTTGAGCAGTTTTTTTTTTCCAGAAAATCACAGTGACATTACAGCAGAACATTATAGTTGAACAAT